TGTGCGGGGCGCGCTGAGGGGAATACCTGGCCGGCAGTCGCGTTTCAAGTGGAGGGTCCTATTTCGGTTTCTGGGTGTCGCATTTCGGTTCACTACACTCAAACCACCGCCCTCTTGCCCTGGGGCTCCCCCTCTTCCCACGATGGGTGTCACAGAACGTTCTTCCTAAAGTCTAAGAGCAAAGTGTGCTGGGAAGAAGGCAGACTTCACAGTCTCACGCGGTTTTAATTTTGTCCCTATACCTGCTCTTTGGGCGTGTGGTAGGCATCATCCACCTTCGCTGCTCTCCTTTTGGGTTCATGAAGTTGGAAGCATAGAAGAAATCGCCCTTTCAGTGCAGTCATTTCTTTGACCCTGCTTCACGACTGTCTTAGTACCATTACACTCACGAGTATTATTTAACATGCTGAGGAGCTTGCTGCAGAGCTTGCCACGTGGTAGAGAGTCTTCTGCCTGTGCCCAGATAACTTTTGAAAGACCTTAAATTTTCGTAATTTGTAAGCCACTTAACAAGGTTGTTAAATTTACACAAGATTAGTTATTGAGGATTGTTCTAAGTGCTTTATGTAGGTAAAGCTCATTTGCTGCTAATTATACTACTAGGTACTTCTTTAGAGGAAAACAGAAGCTCCGAGAAGTTAACTTGCTCGTTACATACCGATATGTGTACCACATGTGGATCCAATACGTAGCGGACACAGAATTTGAACCTAGGCTCTAAACTTTCTTCAGGACAGTGTACAGGTGGGTAGAAAATTCCTTCTCTAAGTTGTTCTTTTAGACTTCCCTATTCAATTCAAGAAGCCCCTACTCTGATGATATTTTTTCTGGGTAAAGTCCTGTAGTGAGAAGGGTATTTTTTTAGTCTGCGATTACATGTTAGCACATTCTGAACTTAAATTGCTTTGGAAGAGCCAGCTGGTAAGATGCTAAGTTTCAATTTGAGCAGTAGAGGAAAAACCAAGGTATGTTTTTCCTATTCTCCGTTCTCACTCAATGCAATACCTCTAGTCACTAAAATATGTGGATTTCTTGCCACCAGCAACCAAACAGTTCAACAGCTAACACTGGCTGGGAGTCATCTAATTCAATTCAATTCCATTCTGACACTACCTGTAGATGTTGTCAGATCCCACAGGTTAAGGGCTCAGTTCACAAGACTGTTCCCCCACTTCAGAAACCACCTATGAGTCTGGGCCTCCAGAACTTCTGACAGACCACCTATAAATTGGAGTTTTCATGACTCCAATTTGATTAATTTTGATTAATTTTCTAGAGCAGCTCACAGAACTTATGCTTACCAGCTTATTTTAAAGGATTTTACCAAGGATGCAAACAAACAGCCAGATGGAAGAGATGCTTAGGGCAAGCTAAGGGAAAGGGATGAGGAGTTCCCTGCCCTCTCCAGGTGCTCTGTCCTACAGGAACCTGTTGAGCTATCTGCTAGTCCCCGCTCAATTCAGTCCTTTTGGGTTTTATGGAAGCGTCATATGTAGGTACTACTGATTAAATCATTGACCACTGATGATCAACTTAATCTTCAGTCCACTCAAACCTCCCTGGAATTAGAGGATTGGGCTGAAAGTCCCAATCCTCTAATTTTGGGTGGTCTTTCTGGTGACAAGCTCTTGTCCTGAAATTGGGGTCCCCTGACCATCAGTTGACTAATTAGCATACAAAAAAACCATTGGATCACTTAGGAGATCCCTACAATTTTAGAAGCTAAATTTCAGGAAATGAGGAGGAAGACCAAATATATTTTCCACAATATCACATTTATTGTTGTAGAATACAATGCCTTGATACTTGGTTTTTCGAACTACAAAATTGTATTACCTTGTGGAACCGGATAGAGGTGTATAGATAGGATGGTGGTGAGCAATTTAGCCGGGAGGAAAGAAAAAAGCACATCAGATGAACATTATCAAGGCCATTGGAATTGGATGACTTCTCTGTCCAAGATTCAAGCTGTGTTTGTGCAAGTAAGACTTGCTAGTAGTGGAAAACAGGAACGAGAAGAGACTTTCTTCTCCAGCAGATCCTGGAAATCGAAAGCCATTTTGAACCCTGCCTCTTGCTGACTGAATTCTGTGGTCCAAACCCTAACTCTTTAGTACCTTACCTTCTCAAATGGCTGTTCTTTCTTGCATTACTAGACCTTGGTTAACCCTTAATGTCACCAAGTGGTGAAGGTCCAGGCTTTGCAGACTTGAAACAGGAACTCAGGACACTACAACTTGTGCTGATAGCATTTTTGGGTTGGGGCTTTCTATTTCTTAATTTTTTTTTTTTTTTTTTGAGTTGGAATCTCACTCTGTTGCTCAGGCTGACATGTAATGGCATGCTTATGGCCACCGCAGCCATCTGCTGGGCTCAGGTGATCCTTCTGCCTCAGCCTTACAAGTAGCTGGAAACACAGGTGCACGCCGCCACGACTGTCTAATTTTTCTTGATTTACCATAGAGACAAGGTCTCACTAAGTTGCCCAGGCTGGTCTCAAACCCGTGGCCTTAGGCAATCCTCTCGCCTCAGCTTCCCACAGTGCCGGGATTACAGGTGTAAGCCACTGTGCTTTGAAGCTTTCCACAACTAAGACACTGAAAAAGTAATCCAGAGGCAAGTATCTTGACAAGACCCTAAATCTCGGCTGCTGTCCACCACAAATGTGGTGAGGTGTTTTGGGCTTTTTAGTTGCTTGCCTCTTTTTTTTTTTTTTTTTTTTTTTTTTTGGTTGGTGTGATTGCTCTCCGTAAAGGCAGTGAATGGAGAATTCTCCCTAAGGTCAGCATTTAATTATTGCCTCACTCTGGCTGCTACAGTATTACAAGTCTTGGAATACTCAGCATCGATCCTACTATTAAAGCTGTCTGGAGCGTGCCAGCGTGTCGGACGTCGACGTTCCAGCGGCGGCCTCAGTCACTGAATCGGGTGGGAGGCTCGTTGGGCAGTTTACTATCTTGGCGAGGGTCGGCCCAGGCGCGGGACCTGTCAGATGACTCGATTGGATCTCCCTCCCGTCCGTCATCTCTCGACACCCACAGTTCTGCAGTAGGATTTGGAAGTTTAGCACCGCCTCTGGAAACCGAAGGGGCGGTGAGGAGAAACCTTGTATTTCTCTCCTCATTGGGTATTTGCTGTGTCTGTCACACTCTGCTCTGCTCCCATTGGCGGGAAGGCTCCAGGCGGGTAGCGGGACACGGTACTGTCCCCTCCCGAGCTGCCAGCGGACCGCGTGACGTCTCAGATATTTGTTGTTGGGGTTTGGACTTCATTAATTATTCATCAGGTACTGGAAAGGGCTGAAGCGATTGGTGGTTGAGGGGCCTACAAGATTGTTTCTCCGCTAGAGGTACGTGTCGCCCAGTACGCGGCTGAAGAAGTTCCGCATAAATTATTCAGATAAGGGAAGGGGCGGGGCAACGCATATATTAGTTAAATGAGCCGTGGAGGGAGGGAAGCCGGCAGCGAATTAGCCTAAGTTATTAAAGATGGCGGCGGAGCGCAGTCGCTCCCCGATGGACTCGCCAGTCCCGGCCTCTATGTTCGCTCCCGAACCAAGCTCCCCGGGGGCGGCCAGGGCCGCGGCGGCCGCCGCCCGGCTTCACGGCGGCTTCGACTCGGACTGCAGCGAGGACGGCGAGGCGCTCAACGGCGAGCCGGAGCTGGACCTCACCAGCAAGGTAGGCCCGGGCGGCGACGTGAGGGAAGCGGGCAGCGGGCCGAGCAGTGTCGGGGCGGCGGCGGGGCCGGC